TGGGGGATTGAACCGCGGTCCCTGGGCTTTGCTAAGTTTGTTCTAAGTAGGTGCTTTAGACCACTGAGCCATCTCACCAGCCCTCATGATAGTTTCTTTGAGAGATGCTTTTATAACTAATATTTTTGCTTCTATACTTTAGAAACTTTTATTATTGAAATCTCTGTCTTTTCTGTGTTCCTACTGCTGAGCATGCTGTCTACCAAAGTGCTAGACAAGGCCAAGAGGCGAGTGTGTGCGCTCAGCCTGGCGGGCGGCGAGCCTGCCGCTCTGCACATCCAGCTTCCTTTAGAAACACGGTGGGGCTGCAGTCCGCACATGGGCACGGCGGGGACTGGCTCCATCGAACGAACATGAGGGAGAATGGGCTGATTCCTTTCAGGCTTTTTTTTTTTAGCAGTGTTACTAAAGAACTTAAATGTTTCTCTCTTTTAAAATTTTACAGAGTAAAATAGCAGAAGAATTGCAGAAACTGAAAACAGAGTAAGTACTATATTGTAAATAATTCTTTTTAAATTTTTTTTTTTTTTTTAATTTTAGGAAAGGTTCTACAGGGTGTTCAGGGTTTCACTACTAGGTCAGACTGGTAGTGAGCTGCCTGCTTACGGCCTCCCAAGCGCTGGGACTGCAGGCGCGCCCCCACACCCGGCCTCAGTGGGCCTGCTCTGGGGACAGGGCCGGCTTCGCAAGCCCAGGATCTAATCTGGTCCCTGCATCTGCCTAAGCAGGTGATTTAATCTGCTGAGCTGGCTGGCTGGCCCTAAATTTAAAAAAAAGAATTTTGAGGAAAAAAAATTTTCTTTTTAAATTGAGTTTTTATTTATTTTTATTTTTTTAATTTTTATTTATTTATTTGTGTGAGTGTGTGTGTGTGGGTGTGTGTGTGTGGCCAGCTCAGCCCACCAGGGGGCGGGGCTGGCTGGCATGTGGTGCTGGGGGATTGAACCGCGGTCCCTGTGCTTTGCTAAGCTTGTTCTAAGTAGGTGCTTTAGACCACTGAGCCATCTCACCAGCCCAAGAAAAAATGTTCTCATCTAGCTGGGGAGACGAGATGGACTTTGAGTGCTATGTTGGGATCGAATTCCTTTTAATACCAGAGAATGATTCTTACTCCTCCAGTCTGAGAGAAGTCCAGAGTGCTCTTCATAGCAGAGAGGAGGACTGCCTCAGAATGGCTGAGGAAGTCGCACGCACGCAAACATTGGAGGCCAAAGCATTCCAGGAAAAGGAGCAACTGAGATCAAAACTGGAAGAGATGTATGAAGAAAGAGAGAGAAACTTCCAGGTGTGTCAGTGTGCTGGACTTTTCGTGGTGCTCGATTCCTTGAATAAAGAAGATGAATCTGTGGAAATGCGCTCTGGCACACGGTGTTTGGTCTGAGTCCCTCTCATCTCCTAGTGGTTGCAGGAGGTGGGGTCTGGGCTCCTTCTCCTGTACGCTGTGCTCTTGTGGATAGGAGATCTGTGAATTTCAAAGGACAAGAAATCCTGTGTCTCACTTGCGTGCTTGGTTCATTTTGTCTGCAGGAAATGGAGATGTTGAAGGGGCAGGTGGAGTTCCTCACAGAGGAAAACGGCAAGCTAGCAGGACATCAGAACCTGCAGCAGAAGATCCACTATGTGATCCGCCTGAAGAAGGTACGCTCTGGACGCTGCTCTGAATGCGTCCGTTCTTGGGGCTGCCCCGTAGCTCAGTTCTGTAAGTGACTGCTTCAACCAGGCAGTCAGGCTCAGGTGGCTGTGGTTCAATCCCCACAACTCCAGCCAGCCAAACCCGCCCTGAGGGCATTGGGAGCAAAAAAAAAATCCTTCTGAATGCATCCATTCTGGTTTAAAAGTGACCGTTTTATTCAAGATACATTAAAATTTTAATGATTGAGTGGCTTCAGGGACTGTCCTGAATTCAATAAAATTTTTATCTTTACTCTTGTAACATAATTAAGCCAAATACATTGTCCTAAATGCCAGATTTCTGCTTACTGTTAGGCAGTTTACAAATTGAACATTCTAAGCTTAACTTAAAATATATGCTTACTGCAGGGAACCACGAGTCAATGACTAGTGCCACATACCACACCAGCCCCACCCTCAGGGTGGGTTGAGCCAGCCAAAAAAAAAAAAAAAAAAAAGATGCTTACTGAAAGTCAGGAAGAGTATCTCCTGTACAAAATAGAGTCTTAAACGTTTTTCCTCTCTGTCAATTATAGGAGATGGAAAAGTTGCGTGCTGAAAATGTAGTTTTAAAAGAAAAGAAAAAGCCTGAATCATAAGGGTCGTGGCCCCCTCTGCAGGCGTCACCTTGTCTGGAGATGCTCTTTTCTCCATCTCTCTCAGAAGACAGACCTCTCTTGCTGACTTGGGAGAGTGAAGTTGCGTCCTGAACAGTGAGTGAGCTGCGTGCTGTGTCACAGCCCGGCAGCGAGCTGCGCTGCTGGCGCTGCTGTCCCACACCCAGGCTGCAGATCAGTCGCACATGCAGGCAAATCTTCTCTGGTAAAATTAAAGGCCTGCAGCTTAGGTCTGTGGTAGGTGTTGCTCAGGTCTGTGTCTCCTCACATAATCCCCTTTGATTCTCGTGCTGCTGGCGGCAGGCGAGGGCTGCAGAGCGTGGGAGCAGGTGAGGGCTGGGCTCACGGTGCGCTTATGAACGTGAGCATTCTTGTCCTCTTACTCTGTGTTCTCTGGCGGCGCGGGGATCCCTCTGGGGCCGTGCACGCAGCGGGCAGCGCTTACCTCGGGGCTGCGCCCACGCCTTGTTTTTGTATGAAGTATTTCTGTGAGCGTTTTCTACAGCTGTAAATATGGCCATTTTTTCAAATAAAATCTTTGTTAAATAATAGAGGGCTTTACATTGGTTCATCCCTTGTTCACTCCATGTGTCACTGGGCTGGGTTGGGGTCCCAGCCCACAGCCGAAGCGCAAAGTCTGTCCCACCCTTGTGCAAAACAAGTTTGCAGGTCTGCCGACTCCCAGGAATTTCTAGGACAGGTCAGTAAGAGGCACAAGGAAGACTGATTAGGATTTTAGGATGCTCGGAGAGTGACACGCATTCTGCACCAGAGCTGGGTGGGACCTCGGGGTGTCTCTGAGATGGGTGACAGGACGTGTGCTCCGCTGCTGCTGGCTAAGGTCAGGATGCGAGGCACCCATGAGGCTAAGGCCGGGGCCGCTGCCCACCGGCATCGCTGCCGCCTCGAGGGCGGAGGAAGCACAGTGGCCGGGCGGAAGGGCAGGCCCCGGGCTGGGTCTGCAGGCGCACTGTGTCTTCAAACCTTTAAGGGTACATTTGGTTTTTTAATGAATTTCCTGAAGGGAAAATGGCTTGAAGAACTTTTGTGTAAGTCTGCTTGATGGCTGTGTTGTGTCTGCGCCTCACTTGGGGGACCTTTGATTGTCCCCACCACGGGCATGTTACAAACAAGGCTGGTGGAAGCGCACACAAGTCAGCGTGGACACGCATTTCACATTGCAAGTACACCGAGGGGCGGAAGGGTTAGGTCAGTGGGGGCAGCCTAGGGGACACATGCTGTAGCAGGCAGTCTGTCCCCACTACCAGCTCTGACGGGTTTGCCATCTCTGACTGCGCCACGGCATCCCACCAGGAGCGTTTTGTGTGACACTTGTTTCTGTGACTGGCAGTACAAAACGGGGCTTCAGAATTTAGCCGCGAATATCCATGAGCCTCCTGCCGAGCACATAACCAACTCCCCCTCCTCAGCCCAGGTGAAGTGGCAGGGTGCGCCATGCTGACAGGAGGCAGGCGACAGTGGGACCCACACTCTGTGCTCCCTTCCTCTGCTCCTTATAAAACCACCTTGCCTACCCGTACACAGGAGATGCTGATCTGAGGAAAAGGACCCTGCACCTCCTTGGAGCAGATTTAAATCCTTTTTCCTTCTTACCAAGACAAATGCCCTCCTTGGATTTGGTCAGTGGTGAGCAAGTGAACCTGAGCGTGTGAGCCTGCGTGGCTGCTAAGAGTTTTTGTGAGCCAGGCAGGAGCCAGGTCCCAGCTCCTGCGCGCCTTCCCTCCTGGCCGGGACTTAGGTAGGAGAAGGAACTGATTGCCCTTGGCCAGCTCAGCCCTGGTCAGGACGCCAGGGACACTGCAGCCCCGATGGGGAATTTCTGCATCCAGAGACCCCACGCTTTTCTGTTCATGGCATCTGTTCCCTATAAGAGGTTGGTAAAAGGAAAAAGGCCAGGAGCTGATAGGCTCTACCTGGCTTCCGGCTGGGAAATGCACCGTGTGGAGCCAGTCTCCATCATGTGGACTCCTGCGCACTCACTAGTGCCCGTGGGTGAAGAGCTGACTGCCACTGCTGCAACCATCTGACCATTTGGGGCGCTGACACCATCACTGCCACTTGGGGCGAGGCAGCTCCTGCACCATTGGCAGTTGGTTGTCTGGGGCAGTGCCTGGTGTGAAGAGATTTGGCGGCAGGAAAGGTACCAGGCGTTGGTCTCCTTGGCTTGGAAGGCTCATTTCTTTTGGCCTGCTTTGGTCCTTTTCTCATTCCCTTCTGACCACTTTTGTCCTAGGGTTGGCAGCAGGGCGCAGTACCATCTAAGGGTGCAGGCTAACCGCATGGGCTGCAGCCAGGATCTGTAAAGAGGGCGCAGCTGCTAGGGCTGCGCCTTCCATACCGTAAGCATGCAAGGCAGGAAATCTCCAAAAGCGGATGGCGCACTCAGCCTGGCCAGAGAGCGCCTCACCTGGGGACAGTAGGATACCTCTAAGGCAGTATTGAGTTAGAGGTATTTGCTCAGGAGAGAAAGTGCTGGTGCCAGTTTGCTGAGGACTGCTGTCTGCTGCTGCTGTCTGCTGCCGCTGCCTGACCTCTGCACATCATGCATGTGTGTACCTGTCCACGTTAGCCACTCTGGCATCCAGGTTGGCAGCACCTGCTGGGAGCTCACCTGCCTAGAGCACAGCTGATGGGCAAGAAGAGGCTGCCAGTCCTTGCCAGTGGGTGAGATGTGATCATCACCACCGCCAGTGCATGGCTTGCTGTCAGCTGTACCATGGTCATGTCACCAAAGACATCAGTGCTGCCACTGCCACTGCCACCAAGCGCAGCATACACGAATTACCAGTGGCCCACTACGGCGCCTGATGGGACCTGGCCAGGGTTCAGCAGGCTCTGTGCTGAGGGCTGGGCTCGCCTAGAGCACAGGTTTGAGCTGATGGACCCCATGTATGCCTTCGTTCACTGCTATGCGGGAGAAGGGATGGAAAAGGGGAGTTTTCTGTGCCCCAGAGGACGCGGATGTCGAGGACTGAGGAAGCTGGCATGCCCTCTGTTGGAGGAGGGTAAGGAAGACGCTGCCTCCTCTATCCCTGTCAGCTTCTGTGCCGGGTGTCCTGTCCCAGCGCACCAGCTTCAGCGCACCTCAGCTCTGAAGTCCTGGCTTGGCCCTGCCTAGGACCTGTCCTTGTCTCTTCCCCTGCACCGTGTGTCCTGTCCCAGCACTCCAGCTTCAGCACACCTCAGCTCTGAGGTCCTGGCTTGGCCCTGCCTAGGACCTGTCCTTGTCTCTTCCCTGCAACTCTGGCTTTCCCACCAAGCCTCAAAGGCTTCCTGAGTAAATGCAGAGCAAATGAATGTGCCTGTGTTATTTGCAGCTTCTGAGGGCATTGTGTTAGCTGAGACTTGGAAAAAGGCGATTTTATTATGGGACAACATGGCCTGCGTAAATGAGAGTGTATTCTTATTTTTTTAGGTATTTGGTACAGGGTCTCACTACACAAAGACTTGTAATGATCCTCCTGTTTGCAGCTTCCCAGCTCTGGGATCACAGGCATGCAACACCATGCCCAGTCTTGACTGGCTCAGCCTATCTGGGGGCGGGGCTGGCACAGTATGTGGCACCAGGGATCAAATCCCTGTCCCTGTGCTCACCTAAACAGGCATTTAGTCCACTGAGCCATCTTGCTAGTCCTTTTCTTTTCCTTTTGAGACGAGAGTCTTGCTATGCAGCGCAGGATGACTTTGAACCCACTGTGCAGCTCAGGCTGGTCTTGAATTCAGCAGTCTTCTGGCCTCAGCCTCCCAACTACTGGGATTACACCTGGCTGTTCTGATTTCATGCAGCTGCCTTCACGAGGGTTGTTTGGAGCTGCTAGGATAACATCCGTAGCTGCTCTTCTGGACCCCCTTCTGGATTAGCAGTAAATACCAGCCAGAGCCTTGGCTGCCACTAACACACAGCTGCGTGGCTAATGTGGGCCAGAATCGCACGGCACTGCAGTTTCCCCTAACTGGCCAACAGTGCTTGGTTCATTCTAAACCAACTGAGTTCAAAATTGGTCACAACTTATTTGCTGAAAATTGATGTTTGTGATGTGTAAATTTCTGGCCAAATATGT